TGTCTTAAATAAATATATAGTCCACTCTCTCTATTATTCTATAACAAACTGCCCAATTTATATATCCTATATAAACTATTACTACTACTGTTTAGTGAATTCTCTTTATAACGCACATTTCTTAAATTGTCTGTAAAACTGTACTTACGTTGATCACTTAAGCTTGGAATATAGCTCCTATGTAACCCTTCAAAAGCGACTTGATCATTTGATCATTTTTCACACACATACTGAAAACATAGAAAGCAAAATATACGCGTTAAAAAAATACATCTCAGGTTAAACAAGTTTTTGTGCGCAGTCACGCGACTTTTTTCTATTCTAAATTCAATTGAAATAGCAAGTTTCACAATATAAAAAAGATCGACAATCGATTTTGTCACATGTGATAAAACGAATGTCCACTATGCTAACAAAAATACAGTAAATTAGTTAATTGTAAAAGAGAGTTAATAAGTAATTACCTTCTGATAAATAAGGTTTTAATCCTATTATTTATGTCACCACCTCAATATATTGGTAGGCATTTAGAAAATATCACTCATATTAACACCTCAATACTATATACATTTTATTATTTGTATTTTTACTTATTCTACAAAGAACTTAGGTGTAATATACCATTTATTTTATCAAAGGGTTACATTGATTAATTGATGATAAATATAAAAAAAACATCTCTTGTTATATGATTATGGAGTATCAAAAATTTAGCCAATCAATTTATATTTTCTTCTTTCTATTTCTACAACATAACCACTCTGTATCTTCATATCCATTCATTAATTCATTTGATAGAGCTTTACAAATTTCATTATAAACTATATCCATTATCTTGCTCAATTTTAAAATACTTCCCAAATACTCTTAACTTTTTTTAAAAAAAATCACTGACATCTTGGTTAAGTTGATTGTTAAATAAGTTGGTATATATATACTACCATGATATGGAATTTAAAAAGAAAGTGTGTAAATTTTTTAAAAGAAGAAATTGCATGCCACTTATTATTCATGATTGTAACATTAAAAACTCCTGTGTAATGACTATTATAAAAAAATTTGTGTAATAGTATTATAGTATTGACCAATATAATTGCAGAATGATTTGCGACATGGTTGTGACTTGCAACATGGTTTGCGACTTGCGACATCGCAACATTTGAATGATGGCTGCGACTAAGGGTTGCAACCATTGTTGTAATACACTAATTTCAGCCAGTATCTTTAATTGAAACCTCAACATGCAGTACAAATAGGACAAGATAGTATATGGCCAGCAAGTGAGAGAGTTTTGCAACAAAAGTTCAAGGAACCTTTAATGAAATGCTTTTGAAAATAAATCTTGCTATAAAATCAAGATTATTAAATTACCCATTAGTTGAAATTGCTTTTCCTTTGGCTGTATAAGAATATTTACCATAATCTTCATGAAGAACAATTTTAGCTTAGAACCATAATCCCCAATATTAAAATCAGATCTTTGACTTTCTACCTTGTCTATAATTAACCATGCTATAATTAGGGTGGAATAACGTTAATCCAGAATTCAACCATTCATCAATCAAGTCATAGGAATGGTATTCATACATCTGTAAATTCCACAATTATTAAACTTTTAAATCAATTAATATTAATATTAACAGTTTATGTCTAGTACAAATGGCCAATAAAAAATCTCAGCAAAGTTCAGAGACAAACTGGTCAACTAAAGAAGTGTTTTGGATTTAAAATATGATGCATTATATCGAATGGCACAATTTTGTGTTTTTTATACATCATCAAGGTTGAAAACTGGATGTGTGTCAATATAGTAGAATTTTATCATGCAAAAGTACTTGCCCAGGGATAAATAATTTTTGTGTTCTTTATGATGCTCTGGAAGTTCTTGCACAAGTGTTCAATATTCAATTATAGACTTTCATTGTTCTTCTAAAGTAATATCCAAGCCTTCATAATGCTATTATTAATAGAATTGTCAAAAAATCAGCTAGATGTTGCCTTGCTCATTTTCATGAGCAACATGCATCCTCCTCTAAGACACTATCTGATCGTACATCAATAACAAGAGTCTCATACACCCATGAAGGTCCCTCCTTTAAGCATGAGTTTTATTCCTAGGTTCACTGAAAAAATTTTGTAACCGTGCTAATACCATCACTTATTGACCATATTGTTTCTTATCTTATTGATTTTCCTACATGTGGCAAGTTCTTTCTTTGTCAAAAAAAAAAATTTAGACTGGCACAATGTCCCCCCATTTGTTTTATTCATTTTATTCGTTTTATTCAAATTATTAATTATCATTACCATTATTGTTGTTATTATCATTACTATCATTATCATTATCATGTCTCAACCAAGAAAAAAAAACAGCTATTAGTGAGCAATTGAAAAGAGAAATTTGTATATATTACCAAGAAAACATTCAGAAAACTCATCAAGAAATTGCAAATTATTTTAGTGAAAAATTTCATTGAATATTGATAGGTCATCAGTAACAAAAATTTTACATAATAAAGAAAAATGGCTAGATGCTTCATCTACAACCCATCATAATACTTTGTGTTGTAGACAAGTGAGGTTTCCTGAACTAGAAATAAGCAATGAACATATGGATTGGACAAGTCAATGCAAGTGGCCTAATCATTGTTGTTGTTTTTTATATAATTATTATTATATTTTATTTTTTTTCATGTCTCTTTGTTCAATTATTTCTGATGATCTGCAAGTGTCCTTAATATTTATGACCAGTGAGTGTATCACTTAACAAATGGAACATTATAAAGCTAATTGTGATGATAATAGCTAAATTTGATCCCTGAAATTCTTTTTGTCTGGTTTTGTTGCAGCATGCCCCATATGTTTGTTACCATTATTAGTGGATTTTTGGAAGAATATTGCATGGTTATTCTTGCCTTTTCTAGAAGCAAAGAACCATTATGTTGGTTTGAAAGTGTATGAGTTGCTATAGCAGTAGATTTTGAAACATTCTTTGATCCTAAATAATAACATTAAAATATTGCAAATTAATAATTGCAAGTGCAAAATTAATTATATTTATTTGTCACCTTTTTCTGCAAATTGATTTTTTTTCCCATGTGTTTTACAAATTGTGCAAAACATTCTCTTTATTGCTGCATCATATTTTAACCATTTATATGTGTTTAGCCATTCATGATGAAAACTTCTTCCTGATTTTTAAAATGCATTTTTTTATTTGACATGGTTTTCACTTAATTCACTTTTTTTATTTATCTGAGCCTTGAATTGTTTCATTTATAAATGCTTCACCCCGAATTTCAGTAGTCAGATTATCTAATTCTTCTTATTCTACACTATTTATTTATAATTTATTTTTTTGAATAAGGGAAAACAAATATACATAAATTCATATTTAAAGTGTATGTATTTTTAAATTTAATAATTTAATAGCAGTGAAATAAGATTTAAATTAATACTTTTCTTCTGAAAATTCAAATGATACAAATTATGGTTCTTTTCTAAAATATTGTAGTGATACACATATATGTATACATTATTTGGTATAAAATTTTTTAAAAATAAAAAGGAAAAATATCCGGCAACACTTTTTTTTTCGGAAATTAAAATTTTTGAAAGGAAAATCCGGATTTTTAAAGTACTATTTCCAGCCCTGGTTCCATACATGCTAATATTCTATACAAAAAAACGCGAAATATACGGAAAATTTATATTAATTTTTCAGAACTGTACCAAATAATACTTTTGTTTATTAATGGATGCTCGTGTTCCAAAAACAAATTTAAAAATTAAAAAAAAAAATTTCGCATCTTTAAAATTTTAAAATTTTAATAATTGGACAAAATATATTTTTTATGCGTGATTTCATATATGGTGACATATACAAAAAGTCAGAGTTATGAATTTATCGAATTATTCCAATTATCGAGATTTTATTATTACTATAAATATGAAATTATCGAATAAAATTTTAATATAAGTGACACTTGTTCTTGAAAAATTATGAATTTAAGGAATTATGAATTTATCGCATATGAATTTAACGAGCTTTGACTGTAGTAGGTGTGTTACGAAATTCCATAATAAAATTTGCATTAGCTTTCAAAATTGACAACACATAATCTTTATTTACTAGATTCAAAAGGGTGATTGATATAGTGCCATTTTAATAAAGGCATTCGAGTTTCAATGAATTTAGTTTCGATTTCGATTTTAGTCGAAAGTCGAAATTTTTAAGCAACCCTCTAAATTTATGTTTAACCAGTTTTTAAACTGGTTTTTTTAAGCGGTGATCTTGAAACCAGGAACAAGGACCGAATCGAGCCGAACCAGTAACATAAGAATAATGGATGGTTTATCAATAATTTTGATAAAAAAAATAATTAGAATGATTAATATTGCATAACATACTCAAAACAGAATCCAGATAAACCATTATGAGTTTCATTAAAAAATGTGTCTAAAAAAAAAATGATTATTTTAAAAGAAAAAAAATTTTTTATAATAATAATAAAATCCAGTTTGAATCCGGTTGCTATAATTTTAACCGGATTTTTCAAAAATAAAAACTGGTATGGTGCAAGTCACCTAGTCCCGCAACCTGCTGCGCCTCGTGGCCAATTTTGGGAAAAATTCTCAACCATCCCGATACACCTGGATCTTTTATGAGCTATTTACTTGATCAAGACCTTTCGAATTGGAATCCACAAGAAAATATTCCTACCACTAAAATGAAAACAGAGACAATGCGTGAGCATCTCCCAAATCCCATCCGATTCATAATTGATCATATTTCGGTATGGTCAAAAGATCAAATTGAAAAACCAGGTTGTGTTATGTTATATCAGGAGTATCGTACATGGTGTGAAGCTAATGGTGAAAAGCCATTCAGTAATAATAATTTTGGGAAAAAAATCCCACAAGTTAACATTGAACGAAAACGTGCTGGCGGTGGAAAAAGAGAATGGCAGTATATCCTTGACCGATCCAAAATCGTATCCAAATTACATGAGTCAATTGGCGATATCGAAGAATTTGAGTTGGAAACTCATGGTCTTTCCACTTCTGATATTTCACAAGATAGCTTTCCTACCAAAAGTTCTATGGAAATTCCGGTATTTAGTGTTCCTGAAACGAAGAAAGAAGAAATCGAACCGGAAAAAGAAATACTGAAAAAAATAGAATCGGTTCCTTCAACATCTAAAAATTCAGAGATTATTGACATTCCTGAACCTGTTAGCGATGAATCAGAAATATCTTCCAACTTACCTGAAAACGATAAATCTGAATCTAATAGTGAAGAAACCATATCCAAACCAGTAGCATTACCTTCCGACTATCCAACCCGGGACCAGCGGGAAAAACGTCTTAGGCAATGGGCTATTGATCATGGCGAGGATCCAGATGTATTCATGACTATTACTGAAAAAGATATTAATTTATCTAGAGAATACAGGGATAGAATAATGGCAGATGCTGATATGATCCAATTCACAAAAGATATCGATGATGATCCAAATTCATTAATGGATATGACTAGAAGAGAAAGATTAATAAGTGAGGAAATTATGATCCGATTGCATGAGGATAAGGGTAACCCCCAACCAAGGAGTTATAACGATGATGAATGGATAGAAAAAATATCGATACTTCAAGAAAACGGATACCTATGGTAAATCCAATATATATATTTTAGAAAATCTCCAATTTATAATGACGTATTAGATGGAACAAATAATAGCAAAGCTAGTACGGCTAAAATTTTAGTATAAATATATCCACAGAGGGGATTTTTTGTCCTTCTAAATAGACATTATAAAAATTCAGATTGGAAAATATTTGTTTTTCATACCACTTATTGGAATAAATCCTCTTGACGTGCTTTGCACAATATCCCGTATAAGATGATGTAAGTTTATTACAAATTCTACAAGGAGCTTTTTTTTTCATAGAAATATTTCTTGCATGGCTGATATCTATGAATGAAGAGCGGGTGATTAATTTTTGATTTGAAAAAATAAATATGTAACAAATATACTGCAATCTACTTATCGATATACGTATTATCATGAACACTGCTTCAAAAACCCGAAAGCCCCAAACTAATAATTTTACCTCAATTTTGGACCAGATCCTAAAAAAATATAACTTATCCACCGAATCTAATCCATCTCAATTATGTGTCTATGCTAGTGAACTTGGCGCTATGTTACCAGATTGGAAAGCTCGTAAAAATGTGAAAGAAGCTCTTCGTCGACGTCAATTTAAAGAAGAACAGATCAAGGCTCTTGTACCGGATAAAAGGAATGAAAAACTTACTATTAGGGAAAG